TCCACCGTGAGGCCCCAGTGGGTGGTCTGCAGGCTGAGAGCCGAGTGAAGACCCAGGGTCCCTTAGGTTCAGCTGGACAAGGACAGATAACAAAGAACAAGAACATAACTCAGGCATGTTGCATGTCGATCCTGTAAGAACAAAGCCTGAAAGGGAGACCCTAATGAAGAGGTCTTTCAGAAAACACTCTGGGCTGGGCCCCTGGGGACCTTGGGCCCTGGGTTGGGAGTAAACTCAGTTAATGTCTTCACTCACAGCTGGCAGGACTCCTTCTGGCAGGGCGCCACCCTCTTTGAATCCCTCATTCACCTTCACAGCAGTTATTCCACTAGTGTGGAACCTGAGGTTCAGAGAAGGAAAAGGACTTACCTAAGGTCACACAGCTAAAGAGTCCCAGAGCAGAGCTTTAAATCCAGATCCTTATAAAAACTTAGTGGTTATCCTGTCACAGAGATATTGAAGAAAATATTTTGAAATTGTTTTAAAGTAAATTAAAATCAAATAGAAAGTAGTTGCACCTCTTAAAGCTTCTGCAGTTTTTTCACAAAGGGGAACTTGCCCTTTGCTCAGTCTCTTCTGGCTGGCTGATTGCCTTCCCCAGGATGCACTGCTGAGAGAGATTTGGAACCTCCTCCCCTTGCCCAGCCTGACCCTGGGGACAGTACAGTACAGCTGGGAAGAGCCCTGAGGACACTAGACCAGCTCCCAGAACAATCCTATTAGACACCAAGGCCCGAGAGATGGCACAACATGCCGAGTCACATGCCACCTTGATGCAAAACTCACACCCAGACTCCTCGCTGCAGTGCCCCTTGCCTCCTCCCTCATGCTGTGACATGCCTCAGCAAGAGTTCCTAACCTGGAATCTGGGGACCCAGGGACACAGGAAGAGGGGCTTCCTGATCCCCCTGCAGGGTATGTAGATTGAGTGCTATGGTACTGACACACACACTCATGCACATGTGCTTTTTCCTGGGGAGAGTGTTAAGTTTTCAAGAGACACCACTGGGCACCATGGCCCAGAATATCCTGAGGCACACGGTGTCTCACAGGAGGCCATCACATGGCACACAGGTGAGGTGAGTGGGTGTGGCCGCAAGGAGCGCTCAGTAGCAGCTGGCACCAAGCACTGGAGGGCACCTGGGCTGCACTTCTGGTGCTAGGCACTCAGGGTATTGGCCAGTGGCCATTCTGAGCACCTGTTTGTCCAAAAAGCATGGCTGAGAGGATTCCTGTATCCATAGATCCCTTCTTCCATAGGAAAGAGGTGAGCCTGATGGAGGGGGTAGAGCCCCCACAGGGCCAGGAAGCATTTGTGTAATAGAGAGCAGGAGAATTGGAAAGGGCTTTCTTCCCCAAGTTGATGTGCCTTGAAAGCAAGGACAGAAACTAGAAAACCTGCTGCAGGGGTCTGAGTTTGTCAGGAAGCCGTGAGGAGGCCAGCTTGCGTGCGTGTAGAGGGCCAGGCTCTTCAGAGGAACGCAGCCGTGTCTGGCAGGCCCGGGAGCTGGAATGGACCTGCGGAGACCTGGCGGTGTGGGCCCAGGACTGCTGGGGTGGGAGGAATACAGTAAAGGTGAGCCGGGATCCATGAGTCAGCCCAGGAGAAAGGGGTGAGTGTAGCCCACTGTAGCCACCCACCTCCTCTGCTCCCCTCCCGCCACCATCATCGCCACCTGGACAGTGCCCTGTCCTCCCAGGGCTTCCCAGCCTCAGTGCTGGGTAGGCAGGGGTGTGGCCAAGCCAGAGGGGATGATGGTGGCAGAGGGAGCTGGACAGGAGGGTGAGGACAGCAGTGTGGAAGGGGGCTGCAGCTGCCAAGGCCCTGCCTGCCACTCACAACCCAGCAGCTGGTTTTCTCAGCAGAAACATGCTGAGGGACAGGCTGTGTCCAGCCAGCTCCCCTCTCAGAGGCAGCCAGCAGGCACTGCTGCTTCTTCCCTGGCCTCCCTCCTGCCACTTGCTGGCTGACAGGCTGTGAAGGTCCATTAAAGGTTCATTGTTTTCAGTGCCTCCCTCCTCGCCTTGGCTGGCATTTGGAGGTTAGAGGGATGGGCTTTGGCTCCAGAGCAGGGGCCTTGGGCCCCTCAGGAGTGCCTTGCAGTGTCACCAGAACGTGTGCCAGGAACTTCTGCCTCCTAGTCGGAGCAGACTAGGCCAGGAGGCTCTCAGATGTGCCCCACATGCTGTGCCTTCTGCCTTTTACTTCCCACGACACATTCTTTGCACGTTTATGAATCATGCCTAAGGAAGAAAATCGGAATCATTATTTTATGAAGAGTTAGAACAGACATTAGCAAGCCCTCAGATTTCACAGACATCCTCAGAACACTTTAATCTGGATACTGGTGCATTTTCCATTTTACCAGGAGAGGACAACAATGACCAACTCTTTTCACCATCATTTCATGAAAAAGAGGGCATTGTGCGGACTGAAAAGTAGGCAGCAAATAGTCTGGAAATAAGAGCTTCAAATGCACTCATTTGGTCTCATGAAGATGCCACTTCATTAGCCTTTTTTCTTTGGCCAGTAGGAATGGAGCTGTGTTGGTGACCTTAAAGAGTCACAGAGCTGCCTTCTTCTGTGATAACTGGCTCCATGACCACAAAAGAGGAAAGAAGGACCAAGCCTGGCAGTTACAAAGGCTTCAGTGTCCTTTGTCCCAAGCCAAAGGCCAGGGACAAGAGGGAGGGCAGGCTGTGGTGCCGGCCGTCCTCAGCAGCCATTGAAGTGAAAAGCAAAAACAATCCACTGCCTGTTCACTGAGGACAGGTAACCGTGGCTGGCAAACCGTCCTGGGGGACAGGAAGCCCTGGCTGCAGCCTGAGTCGTCCAGGTGGGGACAGACTCCTCCAGCCTGAGCTGAGTGCTGTGGGGCTAGGGATTGGGGAGCAGGCCAGGACAAAGAAGCTGGGCTCCCCAGAGTGATGGGGCTTGGCCTGCCCTGGTGCATCTGTCACCTGGATTTCAGACCGCCTGAGTGGTGGACTGGTCCCAGCCCATTCTCTCCCCAACTTTGTTTCCACCAAAGTTTCTTAGCTTTCATCCATTTGTGTATTGGGCTTTTGCCTAAGATTTTATCTTAAAAGTAAGATTGCGCTTTTCATCAAGTGTTAGGAAGCACTCCCTGAGAGACTCTAAGGCCCTGCCCACTCTAAAGGGACAGGGAAGGACAGCTCACTGTTACCTCTAGCCTGCCTCTTAGGTGTGCATGCAGTTCACATTAGAACTCTTCAAGACACTGGGATTCGCCAAGTGAATGAAAATCATGTCAGCCACCAGTCTGGTACAGGAGACACAAACGCACAGTGTTCAGATTCAGAGTGGAATTCTGCAGGTGGCCCCAGAGCTCAGGTCTGCAACTCAGGGAGATAGCAAACGTTGCCTACTTGAGGTGGAGGGATGGAATAGGAGAACCAGTGAGATCATGTGACTTGCTAAGAGACACACAGATGGTGAATGTCAGAGGACACCAAAATACATGGTTCTCTCATAGGAGAGATTGTTTTGCTATTGGATCAAGTTTCCTACCCCATAAGGCTTGGACCCAGCCTGGCAAGTTGTAGGAGGCCCCTTTGGTGAAGCGGGCGCTTCATTTCCACCCCCCAGCTTCACTCACCTCTTGTCCTCATTGGGGATGATGCAACCCATTCTCCATCCCTGCCCAAGCTAAGCTGTTTATCCTAAAAGCCACCTTCCACTTTCTCACTTTGTCATGTGCAATCCAGGTCCATTCTTCACTTCCTCCTGATTCCCTCCTCTGAGCAGCCTCCCTCAACTGATGTCACCCAAGTCCTGCTGGAGACACTCAGTATGTTGGCCATGTCCTTTAAATAAGCAGACTCCCAAGGGTATAGCTCTCTGGTGTGAGGAGGGTCTCAAACTTCATTAGCCTTTTTTCTTTGGCCAGTAGGAATGGAGCTGTGTTGGTGACCTTAAAGAGTCACAGAGCTGCCTTCTTCTGTGATAACTGGCTCCATGACCACAAAAGAGGAAAGAAGGACCAAGCCTGGCAGTTACAAAGGCTTCAGTGTCCTTTGTCCCAAGCCAAAGGCCAGGGACAAGAGGGAGGGCAGGCTGTGGTGCCGGCCGTCCTCAGCAGCCATTGAAGTGAAAAGCAAAAACAATCCACTGCCTGTTCACTGAGGACAGGTAACTGTGGCTGGCAAACCGTCCTGGGGGACAGGAAGCCCTGGCTGCAGCCTGAGTCATCCAGGTGGGGACAGACTCCTCCAGCCTGAGCTGAGTGCTGTGGGGCTAGGGGTTGGGGAGCAGGCCAGGACAAAGAAGCTGGGCTCCCCAGAGTGACGGGGCTTGGCCTGCCCTGGTACATCTGTCACCTGGATTTCAGACCGCCTGAGTGGTGGACCGGTCCCAGCCCATTCTCTCCCCAACTTTGTTTCCACTAAAGTTTCTTAGCTTTCATCCATTTGTATATTGGGCTTTTGCCTAAGATTTTATCTAAAAAATACGATTGTGCTTTTCATAAAGTGTTAGGAAGCACTCCCTGAGAGACTGTAAGGCCCTGCCCACTGCAAAGGGCCAGTGAGGGGCAGCTCACTGTTACCTCTAGCCTGCCTCTTAGGTGTGCATGCAGCTCACATTAGAACTCTTCAAGACACTGGGATTTTCCCAGTGAATGACAATCATGTCAGCCACCAGTCTGGTACAGGAGACACAAATGCAGTGTTCAGATTCAGAGTGGAATTCTTCAGGTGGCCCCAGAGCTCAGGTCTGCAACTTAGGGAGGTAGGGAATGTTACCTACTTGGGGTGGAGGAATGGAATATGAGAACCAACGAGACCATGTGACTTGCTTAGAGACACACAGATGGTGAATGTCAGAGGACACCAAAATGCATGGTTCTCTCATAGGAGAAATTGTTTTTCTATTGGATCAAGCTTCCTACCCCATAAGGCTTGGACCCAGCCTGGCAAGTTGTAGGAGGCCCCTTTGGTGAAGCGGGCGCTTCATTTCCACCCCCCAGCTTCACTCACCTCTTGTCCTCATTGGGGATGATGCAACCCATTCTCCATCCCTGCCCAAGCTAAGCTGTTTATCCTAAAAGCCACCTTCCACTTTCTCACTTTGTCATGTGCAATCCAGGTCCATTCTTCACTTCCTCCTGATTCTCTCCTCTGAGCAGCCTCCCTCAACTGGTGTCACCCAAGTCCTGCTGGAGACACTCAGTATGTTGGCCATGTCCTTTAAATAAGCAGACTCCCAAGGGTATAGCTCTCTGGTGTGAGGAGGGTCTCATATGTCACTCAGCACAGTGCTTATCTGGAGCCCTAAGCAAAGCCCTGGATGGGGCTCTGCCTTGCCAGTGGGTTTCAGCCCCGGGCAAACTCACTATGGATTCAGTGAAACTGAGGAATGACAGTGGAATGTTCTTGGGGTGAAAGGGTTTATACTCAGATTTATTCCTACGGTCGCAGTTCCATCACTAGAATCCCATCCACTCAGCCAGTCTGCATGCAGCAAGCCGGTCTCTTCCTCTGGGCCTCGCTGTCCTCCGAGCCACCTCAGTCTCTGTCCTCAGCGCTGCCACCACTCCAGTCTCTGCTCTCCTGTAGTCAAGCAGCCTTGCAGCCATGCAACTCTGTCATCCAGAGCACTGGGCAGAGCTCTTTATATAGAGTCAATAACAACGTAATCCCCACACATGCATAGTGAGCCAGCCGACCAGGGCCAGGTGAGAATCCTGGCCATAGGAATCTTCACTTTATCCACAGGCTCCCTGCCTCCCACCATACAGCCCCCTTTAGTCTGATTTGCATAATATTCCATTTGAACAAAGTTCTACAGGTCAGAAAATTTGTAACCCATTGGAGATCAATACTCCCATTGTACAGGTGGGAAAACTAAGGCTCAAGAGGAAAAGCATGCAACTGAAGCCATGCAGCTCCTTAGCAGCCCCCAACCCAGAGTGCCTCAGAAAGCATCTTCTGTGAATAACCAATCACTGATGAATAGAGAATTCCACTTGTAAGCATTCCTACTAAATGGAGCAAAATGTACATATTCCCCACATGCTTTGGGGGAATGAAAGTATTGTAAGCTGAGTCATGTTACAAACGAGCTACAGTAAGACCATCTGTCTTATGCTTTGTCTGGCTACATTTTACTTTTTTTTTATTAAGGTATTATTGATATACACTCTTAAGAAAGTTTCACATGAAAAAACAATGTGGAATACTACATTCACTCATATTATCATGTCTCCCCAATACCTCATTGCAGTCACTGTCCATCAGTGTAGTAAGATGCTACAGAGTCACTATTTGCTTTCTCTGTGCTACATGTCTTCCCCATGATCCCCCCCACACCATGGCTGCATTTTACTTTTACCTATGTGTTCATTTTTGGAATTATTTACTGTATTAGTTGGGATAGTCGAGGCTATGCTGCAGTAACTAATCCCTAAAACACCAGTGCCATCACAGCAGACGTTTATTTTTCTTTCCCAGTTTCTATCCATTGTGAGTTGGCAGAGGGCTGTGCTCCACAGAGGCACCCTGGGACCCAGGCTGACCATCAGGAAGCTGTACCAATTGGGACACATGGCTTTCTGGGCAGCACAGCAGAGAACAGAGGGCTGCAGGGTCACATACTGGCTCAGATGTGCTGGCCTGGGAGTGACACATGACACTTGTGTATAACATGTGACTCATTAGTCATATGGCCCTGCAGCTGCAAGGGCCCGAGGAATGTGAGCATGGTGTGGATAAAATGATAGTTCCAGTGGCGAGCACTCTCACCTGGCCCTAGTTGGCTAGCTCACTACACACATGTGGGCAATACATTGCTATTGACTCTATATAAAGAGCTCCACCCAGTGCTCTGGGTGACACAGTGGCATGGCTGCAAGGCTGCAGGAGAGCAGAGCAGAGGTTGGAGTGGTGGCAGCGCTGAGGACAGAGGCCCAGAGGCAGAGACTGGCTTGCCACATGCAGACTTGCTCTGAGTGGACGGACTTCTACTGATTGACCTGCCACCATGGGAATAAAGTTGGGTATAACCCTTTCACCCCAAGAATGTTCTACTGTCATTTCTTTGGTCACACTGAATCCATAGTGAACTTCCTGGGGGCTGAAACCCATTTGTAAGACACATGGTCATTTCAGGGCCCAGGGGCAGTAAATGCTCCACCAGTCACCTGACTTTACACACAAAAATACAAAAATCCAATTTC